CTCCCTCTCCCTCTCCCACTCCTAGCATCTAAAGTCCATCTCCATCTCACCCCTTAGTAGGTCAGGTTTCAGTTCCCAGAATTTCACGACCCTCTTTTGCCAACTGGAGGAGGCAAAGACCATTCAGATATTCGGGAGCTGCAGACGGCCCAGGAATTCTCCCGTGATGACAAAGAGGAGACTAAGTCACAGGAAAGGGACACCCCAGGTAGCTTTCCTTTCTCACATAGCCTTTGAAGCTATAGTGAGCTCTGAGCTGCCTACTGCTCCTGGCCCAAGGCTTTCTCTTCTTTTCTTCCTTCCTTCCTTGCTTTCTTTCTTGCTCTCTTGATTTCTTTCTTTTAAACAATATAAAGTTTAATTACATAAAAAGGAAACTCGCTCTGCAGAGTGAGTTTGGACCAGGTAAATGTAGCAAATCAAGTTCACCCTACAGTGTGGGGTGAGGCAGCAAGCAAGAGCAGACACAGTAGCAAAACTCTATGTGTCCTGCCCTGGTTGGAACTTCCGGGAATATGGCAGAATGGTGAGCAACAGAGAAAGAGCCTCTCTGAAATCTGGAATCATGACCCTGAGTTATAGCAGCAAGAGCAGGAAGGAGGGAAATGGGTCCCAGGGACCCCAAAAAGTCCTGAAGCAAGTATTGAAGTCCATGGGCACGGCAAAGAGAGAGAGATTTCAAAAAAAAGGGAGTGTTTTGGCCCGCAGCTGTGTTAGTTACTTTTCTCTCATTGCTGAGACAAAATACCAGGCACCAAAGTTGAAGGAGAAGGGGTTTATTTGGCTTACAGTTCACAGAGGCTTCAGGTCCATAACCAGCCAACTCCAGGGCAAGGACAACAAACAGGCCTGGCAGAGCAGAAACATCACGGCACACGCGAGGCAGCAAAGGTACCAAGAGAATCTTGTTAACAGTGTCTCCCTGCCCCTTTTACCTGATTCAGGCTCCTTAGGGTGAGTAGCATTCACACCCTCAATGCGAGTGCCCTTCAGCCCAGAACTGCTACACGAATCACCTCCAGCTTTGTACACTCCAGATCAAGCCTATGACCACATGAGGCTTGGGGCGGGGGGCGTCTAGACCCAAACCGTAACAGCAGCCATTTCTCCCAGAGCCTGGACTTAAGGCATCGGGGGAAGGGTGGGTCACACTTGCAGCTGTACAGTGACTACTGGCAACCCCAGAGGCCTCCACAGAGAAATGCACCAGTGAAATGGATGTGGATGTGTTATCTGCTGTGGCTGGTGAGTTATCTGGGTTCAGACGTCCCCTGGGTGTGGGTAATTAGCTGGTAGCCATTTCGGAGAGGGGCCAACGGAGCTCAGAACTCAGAGCAGGTGGCTCCACCTAGGGGTTCTCGGAGTCCTGGTCAACGTGCTGAGGTGAAGTGGCCAGGAGGTCAGGGAATGGAGTTCTTGCAGGCAGACAGTGGAGTTCAAGACAGCAGGAGGCACAGGGACTGTTGTAGGCTCAACAAATCCAATTTCAGCCTCATAGCAAGATACCAGCCTGGAGTTTGGAAGAACTAAAGGTGCAGGATTGCTGGGATTTTCCACTACCCCACCATGAAGCAACTGCTGGCTGGCTGGCAGTAAACACATTGCATGATGCCGGTGTTATCTACTAGTGAGAGCACAGGCTTGCCTTCAGTGGGACTCTTACTTTTGTTTTGTTTTGTTTTGTTTTTTTGGTTCCAGGGATTGAACTTGGGTGCTTGTGGTTTTGATGCCAGCCCTCTTTTTCCTTTTTGGTCTTCTTTTTCAATGGTTTGTTGTTGTTTTCATTCTTACTTTTTTCCCCCCAGGGACTGAACTCAGGACCTTATGCTTGCCAGGGAGGAGTGGTGCTACTGAGCTACATCCCTGGCATTATTTGTCCTTGTATTTCTATGAATGTGAACACTGTTTCTGGTTTGTGTTTCTGTTCTTCCGTCCTGTACTTTTGATTTGTTCCTTCTGTCTTTCACTGCTGGCTTCTTCACCATTTTCCCAAAGTTTGTATGATCTCACCTTGTCCTCCAGCCTTACTTTCAATCTTCATTCCTTTTCTATTACTGCATTTTCACTCCTAACCCCATTTAAGATTTGTCCCCTAAAGGTAAAATCACCATACTGAGGACATATGCATTGTATACACCTGGTTGCTTTAGATTTTGTTATTTGACCACAAATCTAGCTTACAAATCTAGGTCAAAGGTGGAAAATCAATGGCTACCACAGTTTGTCATTTTGTAAGCTGTATTTAAAGTTATTGTTATCACTGACGGTACTACTTTAGCCAAGGTGACACAATTGTCCTCATGATTTTTGTTTTGTGTTTTGGAGACAGGGCATCACTAGGTAGTTGAGACTGACCTGGAGCTCATTATGTAGCCCAGGCTGGTCTTGAACTCACAGCCATCCTGCTGCCTCAGACTCCAGAGTGCTGAGCTCACAGGCGTGTGCCTCCACGTCCGGCTTATCCTAATCATTTGTTTTCCCCAGTATTATCAAGAGCACGATTGCCTAAGAGTCTAAAAATAGTCTATAGTAAAGTGCACAGAATCGGGGGCTGGGCAACCTAGGAGGAACTTACTACACCTAGAAGGTAGCTCTGAGAAGTAGTCATTTCCTAAGGGTTCTCCGTACAAGCAATGAAGCTATTTGCCATAAGTGACTTACAAGCATCAACTCAGAATAAAAATGTTTTTAAAAAGAGGAAAAAGAAGTTACTTGCACAAGAGGTAAATCCAGGACGCAACTTTCAGCTCACCAAAGTCAAACCCAGGATGAAATCAGGTGGAACACTCCGAAAGCCACACACCTGGACAATCTGAAATCGAAACAGCAGATGTAATAAGCAGATGAATGGGCTGCTAGAAAAAAATAAAGTAGAAATAATTTCTCAGATAACTGCAGAGACGTAGACCATAATGAAAGGCAAGCTTAGTGACTCTAATGCAGATACAGATTTTTTAAAAAGTAGAAGAGCTCAAGAGCATGAAAAGCCTTAAAGGCCCAGCATAGGAAATAAATGGAACCCATGAAACAAATTCAAACAGATGTCCAGGAGACCAAAACTTACAATGAAAGTGCACCCAGAAGGATGCACCATTGTGAGGACAGAATATCAGACAAGTAAGACGGGACTGCAGTTAGCAAACACGAAAAGAAAGATTTCTTTAAAATAGCAAAGGGCCGTGAGAAACCAATCCAGCCGTTGTTAGATGATGCAAAGAATAATAACATAAAATTGATCAAAGTCAAGGAAAAAGCAGGAGATAGTGCAAGTGATTTAAACACCTAACCACAGAAATAATGCTGAACACTTCCCAAAGAGGGAAAAAGAGTTTGCCATACAGATAAGTGAGGCATACACACCGCCAAGCAGCACCGATCAAAACAAACAAACTTACCAAGGCATATAGTAGTCAAGATTCCAGAGATGCAGCGCAAGAACAGAAAACAAAAAGCTGTTGGAGAAAAGAAACAAATCACCAATAAAGGAAAACACTTCAGAATTACAGCAGACTTCTCAACACAAGCCCTCAAGTCAGGGAGAGCGTGAATGAAGTATTTCAAGCTCTAAAGGGAAACCATCTCCAACCGAGACTGACGTATCCCCCAAAACAGCTTTCAAAACTGATGGAAAAAGAAGGTACTTCCACGACAAAGAATGCATGAGGAAGTTCAAGAACACCAAGACGGCTCTCCAAAGTGCTCTGAAGGGTATTCTAGAAAGCGACATCAAGGTTACAACTCCATGACGTCCAACAGAACGAACCCACCAGGCGAGGCAAGAAATTCAACGAAGGACAAAGAAGGAAACAACAACAGGAGCCGCCCCCGAGGCAGCCATCAGGTCTAGGCCATCGCCTGGAAAACCTGCTGGAGTTCTCGGGGAAGTCCTCGTGCAGGCCTTTAGGACCTGTTCTGAGCATGTTCTCAGCATGCATTCCTGGGTCTTTCTCCTCCTCTCCCAGGCAGTTTGAGCCACGTCCCACCTTCCTGTCTCAGTCCCATTATGTGGTTCAGGCCGGCCCTGGATTCATTAGGAAAGCCAGGCTGGCCCCCAACTTGAAGTGAGTCTCCTGCCTCAACCTCCCAAACGCTGACAGGCTTAAGCTACCATGCCTGGCCAAGGGTATTTCTTTTTTTTGTTATTGTCTTGTTTTGATTTCTTGTTTTGAGCCTGGGTCTCCCTGTGTAGTTTGAGCTGGGCTTGAGCTCACTATGTGTCCCAGGCTGTTGAACTCACAGGTGACCCTCCTGGCTCAGCTTTCCCCGTGCTGGGAGTACAGGCGTGCAGCACCATGCCCAGTGCTTAACATGATGATTTATTATTTCTCCTTTCTTAAAATTGGCACATTTTAGACACACATAATTATAGCACTTGTGGTAGGAAATTTGAACCTGTACATGTTAGGTCTTGCTTCTTTTTTCCCCGTTTTCCCTCCACTCCCATCAACCCATGAGTTTTTTCCTCTGAAACTGAGGTTTCACTGTGGAAAAAGGAATTCCTGCCTCTTTAACACCTGACCGGGTCCCAGAGAGCTGCTTCCCAGAATGCAGGGCGCTATGTAAATAGCCAACATCCAGAGTGAGGATGATGGTTCACGCCATATGAACAGGCAGAATGAACTTTGAAATGTGATTTGTGGCGACGATTACAGTAGAAGTTTTATAGGTTTTGAAATGTACTATCTCACAGTTTCTCAAGCTATATAACCCTACTGGAAAAATTTATGTCCTTGAGGCCTTTATATGGGTGTGTGAGAAGATGGCCTCCTGCCCGGATGATCCTCAGTGGTCTGGGGTGCAGGCTTCAAACCTGTAGCTGTCTGGCGACAGAGTGGTTCGATTCCACCTTCCGGGCGACTCCCACACGGGCACCTGGAGAGGTCCCTGCAGCCTTCTCCATCCCCGCTGACTCTCGCCACGTCTTCCTCTGCCTGAGGCTCCTCTCTTCTTGGGAATGTCACAGATGAGTGAAAAGATGAAGAGCACTTCTGCTACACAGCTCCAGGACAGTCACGTGGGCTTCTCCCCTTCCCTGCCTCATGCAGTCAGTCATCCACCCACTCATGTATTTCATCGTGCACGCGCTTTTTCCTCAAATGTGTGCTCATTTTCTCTTTCTGCCATTGAATAAGCATTTGTGGAGTGGCTGCTGGGGACCAGCCCTGTTCAGGGCACTGGTGAGGACATGGCGGTGATGACAGCCCCAGCCCTGGGCTCAGGGCAGAAGTGGTCCGGTGGGAGCTGCAGACTAAGGGCCCCTCCCACTGTACCCTGAATTACCAAGCGCAGAGGTGGTGACTGCAGGAAGGAAAAGTGCTGGACCCAGGAAGCCGACAAAGAAACCTGACCTAGTACCAGGGCACCTGACCCTGGGGAAGACGCTGGAAGGAAGAGAGGGATCTGGGAACAGAAGGGGAAGCCTTTCTCCGGCCCAGATGGGGCAGCTGCAGTAATAGCCATGGGCGTGGCAGGGACGGCTCACTGGGCACTGGGCACCGGCACTCGGCAGCCCCTTTCCACCCAGTGGCAAACTGAGGCTGGGGCAGATGTGATCTCTCCTGCAGGGCTCCACCTTGGGTGAGGTGCAACCCCAGAGGGATCACAATACCAGCCCATGCTCTGTACTGCTTTCTAGAATTCTTTGTCCCAAGCCAATGACTCACTATACTTTCAGCCTCTGAAATGGTGGTGGTGGTGCTGTGTTGGGCTATGGAGGTTGAATGCAAGACCTTGGCACTCAGCTACATCTGCAGGTCCTTTAAAAAAAGTTGTCACTGTGTCACTAAATTGCCCAGTCTGGGCTGGAACTCGAGAGCCTCTCTGATCTTGCTGGGGCCTACGAACAAGCTTGGAACAAAACACAAGAGGTCTTCTCGTCCCACGGCAGTGGAGAGGGAGGGTCAGACAGAAGAGTCAGGGAGCCACGCACCCAGTTTGTCTCTTCCCCTCTCTCCTCCTCGTCCAAATCGCTCTCCCTTGAGTGTCTGTTTGTTGTTTGTGTAAAGGGTTCACAGAGCAAGGAGGGAGGGCGAGGTCAGGGGGTCGGAAGGCTGGTCACTGCCGCTGGTGCGTTGGGCGCCGGCGAATGCGGAGACCTCCGGGCAGGTGAGGACAAACGAGGACGTGTACGAAGGGTTAACAACGGGGAAGGGGTCGCCGAGGACTTGGACTTCACTGTGTGTAAAGAGAGAAGCCGTCAGGTGGGGGGGCGCGTCTTGGCTGGTCTGGAAGGGCAGGGGCGGTGGTGGCGGGGGCGGCAGCAGCCAGCTGAAACCGTCTTCCTTAGCGGATGCGGACCCCGGCAAATCTCTCACCTCCGCCAGCGGGCCTGGCCCCGGCCCGGGCCCCTCTTCATAGGGGATCTTGCAGCCCGGTTTGTGGGCCACCAGCACAAACTCCAGGCGCTCCTTCTCCTTTTGGAGCTCGGCGATCTCCGACTCCAGCTCTGCCTTTTCTTCCTCCAGCTGATCAGTCTCCTGAGGTCCCAGGGGCCAGGTCACAGGAACAGACGAGGAAGGAGGAAAGGGAGTCAGTGACCAGAGAATGTAGCTCGGGACCCCTCCCGAGGGTTGCTACAGCATGGGGTGCAGGGGGAAGGAGCCAGGTGGACATGGATGTACACAGAGGTTTGTTGAGTGAATAAACAAATGTACGTTGTTGTGCCTGATGGCCAGTTGACAGGTTGATAGCCTCACTAGTCACTGGAGGATGTCCAGGGGCCTGATGAGGTGACAGCAGGGGAAAAAATAATACCATCCAAAAACCAATAAATAAAGAATAAAGGATCGTTTATTACTTGAGAGTCTGGGAGTTGATCTTTAGCTCTCTCTTGGGTAAAGACCACCTGATCTTAGGTGTGTCCTGGTCAAGACCAGGAAGTCTGGATTAGTCAGTATTTACAGTTACACAACATAGCATGGGGGTGTGAAGGGAACTGTAAATAACTACAGAACCAATGCACTTAATGAGCCTGGCCTGGAAAAGGGAGTAACTGTGTACACCTGTGAAAGTCAAAGTTAACAAGGCACCTGTGTTATCCTACAAGTTATAGCTAGCAAGCCACCTGCATTATCTTGCTACCCTTTAACCTTTGACCTGAGAATGTTTGCTCAGCGTCATACAACCTCAGCCGCAGCGAGTCCTTGCTATAGAGACATCACAACCTCATCAATGACTGGGACCTAAGTTGTGACCACTGGCATAGAGAAGTCTCTGTCCGAACACCAGCCAGAAGGTCAACCTATTCCCCCTTTTTGTTTTTCCACTTTCAGTGTTTAATGTGCACGCTCAACAAGAGCTGGTCCTTCTGGATTATAAGGAATTCCAGTGGGACAACTAACATTTCATGGCTGCAAAAAATTTTGAAAACTCCCGCTGGGGTAGGCAGGGCTATTATTATTTTCTTAGGAACTCTCACCTTTGCAAATGACAAGAGACAATGTTGCTGTATATGCCCTACAGTCTTGCCCGCGTGGTGAATAGCATGCAAAAAATGAGAATAAGTATCTATACTAACATGCACATAATGAAGGCTGCCAAATTAGAATATATGTGTTACGTCCCTTTGCCATATACCTCACTTGACTGGATGCCTCGGGAATTACAGCCTTCTGATGGAATTGATGTAGGTGCAGTTCGGCTTGTTGGACAAGACTGTACAATGTGGCATCCTGTGATCTGGAGAGTTTTGGCGTACTTTGATAGAAATCAGAGTGCGAAAGCCTCGCTTGTTGAAAAAATCAAAGCAGTGAGTCTATTTGTGTGACGATTTCCTTCTGCCACTGGTCCAGGAAGCCCAGAGTGTGAACACACATGACCTTATAAAAGGAAGCAGTCCTATTCTGAATGGTTGCCTGCAATCACACAAACAAATGAAACTGAGGGGGATCTAAAGTACTTTTTAGAGTGGCTGGCTCTAAATTAGTGATATTAGCTATAGAGGTGGAGTAGCATACAATGTTAACAGGTTCTGCCAAGGTACATTCTAGTATGGCAATCACAGCAACCAATTCTGATCTTTGGGGTAACAATTTTCTGATGATTTTGTGATATCTTGAGTGAAAAATCATCCCTTATAGGGGGTGCCACTAAATCCTTTAGTTTCTCAGCTAATAACTATGGTTTTAACAGCTAGTAAAAGAATTAGTTGAGCAATACAATATAATCTCCTGGTTCAAAAACCAAACATTGGCCTGGAAGATGGCAGACTGGTGCACAGCGGAGAAAGAGCCTCTCTGAGATTTGGTGTCCTGACACGGGAGTGTAGCAGCTTGAGGAGGAGAAGAAAGAGAGAGGAGGGTCCAGGGACCCAGAAAAGATCTGAGGTGAGAATTGAAGTCCATAAAGGGCACAGAACTGCATGGACCAAACTCCATGTGGAGAAAGTTTTAGGGGATACAGCAGAGACCTGGGTCGAAACACGCTCCAAACCCTCTCTTACTCGACCTCAACACTCTACTTCAAAGTTATCCGTCTGAGGAAACCAAGGATTATGTTTGATAACTGCTGTCTTACAACATAGGAGAAATCAGCTGGGCACTAACTTGAACGCCAAGATGGCATGAGAGATTTCCACTGCAGAGACAAAACGCTGCATTCAGTCAATGAACTCTGCCCCATTACCTTGGCTGACTCTACGGTGCTCACCCATGTTCCTTTTTCGTTGTTCTTTTCCTTTTCTTGCTTTTCCGTTGTCGGTGTGGCGGCGGTGGTGGGTGTTTTGTTTGTGTTTTTCTCTTTGCTTCTGTCCTTTTCTTTTGCCAGCCATCCATCTCCACAGCCGAGTCCCCGTCATTGACTCACTACAGTTTTCCCCTGGGTGAACCTCCTTGATCGGATTCAGGTACCGACACTGCCTGGAGAACCAGCCTATGACCTTGAACGTAACGAAGTGGTGACAAGGGTAAAAAGTAGAGAGACGCAATCGGCTTACAATATGGAGGTCCAGGGAGCTCTTGACTCTTTCACAGAGAGCCCCAAGAGACTGGTGCACCTTGGCTTTATTCACTTAGACACGGACACAGCCAATTACAATTACACAAGAGTCATGTCTCTCACCTTCCCTGGTTTTTGTCAGGATAAACAACAGAATCTTAGGTGTTTTTACTTTTCCCTGCTGCCTGTCAGCACGCTTGCGTGCCTTCTTTCTTCTTAGTGCTCACTGAGAAGGTCAAATAGGCCTCAATCTTTCTATCTGATCTCCCAAAACCCACCACCATCTTTTGTTCATTTATTTTTTATTCCAGGGATCGAACTCGGGATCTTGTGCTTTCAAGGCAGGTGGCAGAACCACTGAGCTAAATTTCCGGCCCTTCCCACCATCATTTTTTAGGAGACTGAGCCAATGATGTGTAATTGGCACAGAAAGGACAATTCTAGACAGCAGTAAAGAACAGGGGCTGGTACTGTGAGTGCTCTGGGGCTGCACCCTCACCCAAGTTGAGGCCCTGGAGGAGAGACTGCAGCTGCCCCAGCCTCAGTTCGGCAGTGGGTGGAAAGGGGCTCCTGCCAGTTAATGCCAAGTACACAGGGACCAATCTCTGCCATCCCCACAGAAATTGTTGAAGTGGTCCTATACTCACCGCATAAAGATTTCCTTTCTGTTCTCTAATCTCTTTCATCCTTCTGGTGTTTGCCCAAGTTTCAGCCACCCTGATACTAGGTCAGGTTTCGTTGTCTGATGGCTTCCTGGGTTCTGCACTTTTGCTTCCTGTAGTGACCACCTCTGCGCTTCCTGATTCAATGTGAAATCACAGAATCGCTTAGTCTGCAGCTCCTGCTGGACCACTTTGGCCCAGAGGCCAGGGCTGGGGCTGTCATCACCGCCGTGTTCCCAGCAGTGTCCTGAACAGGGCTGGTCTCCAGCAGCCACTCCACAAATGCTTATTCAATGGCAGAAAGAGAAAATGAGCACACATTTGAGGAAAAAGCGCGTGCACGATGAAATACATGAGTGGGTGGATGACTGACTGCATGAGGCAGGGAAGGGGAGAAACCCACGTGACTGCCCTGGAGCTGTGTAGCAGAAGTGCTCTTCATCTTTTCACTCATCTGTGACATTCCCAAGAAGAGAGGAGCCTCAGGCAGAGGAAGACGTGGCGAGAGTCAGCGGGGATGGAGAAGGCTGCAGGGACCTCTCCAGGTGCCCGTGTGGGAGCGTCCCTTGGAAGACCTCACATCCTCAGGGGTGGTGCGCAGGTGGGGCAAAAAAAGCACACATCGCCCGGAAGGTGGAATTGAACCACTCTGTCGCTAGACAGCTACAGGTTTGAAGCCTGCACCCCAGACCACTGAGGATCATCCGGGCAGGAGGCCATCTTCTCACACACCCATATAAAGGCCAAAAATGGCCTCAATTTTTCCAGTATGATTATATAACTTGTGAAATGTGAAATAGTTAATTTGAATACCTATACATTCTTTTCATATAATTCTCACCACAAATGACATTTCAAAGTTCTCTCTGTCTTGCCGTACGGCATGAATCATCCTCACTCTGGATGTTGGCTATTTACATAGCGCCCTGCATTCTGGGAAGCAGATCTCAGGGACCTGGTCAGGTGTTAAAGAGGCAGCAATTCCTGTGTCCAGAGTGCAACCTCAGTTTCAGAGAAGAAAGTAATAGGTTGAGGGGAGGGGAAGGGAATGGGAAAGAAAAGTAGATGCAAGAAATTTCACCTACAGGAACAAATTACCTATCATGAATGCTATCATTATGTACATCTAAAATGTGCTAATTAAAAAGAAAATAAATCATCATGTTTAGCACTGGGCATGGTGGTGCCTGCCTGTAATCCCAGAACTCAGAAAGCTAAGCCAGGAGGATCACCCTTGAGCTCAAGGCCAGCCAGGGCCACATAGTTAGTTCAAGCTCATGTGAAACTACACAGGGAGACACAGTCTAAAAAGAAAGGAAAAGAATAGAAAAATAAAAACCTCTTGGCTGGAAATGGTGGCTTAAGCCTGCAATCCCAGCATTTCAGGTTGAGACAGGAGAATCACCTCAAGTTGGAAGCCAATCAGTGCTACCTGGTGAATCCAGGGCCAGCCTGAACTATATGAGACTGAGACAGGAAGATAGCGTGTGGTTAAACTTGCCTGGAAAAGGAGGAGGGACAGGATCCAAGAACACATGCTCAGAACAGTTCCTAAAGCCCAGCGTGTGGACTTGTGAGAACTAGAGCAGGTTTTCCAGGGGATGGCGGAGACCTGATGTCAGCATCAGGAGGGGGTGATAAAAAAACACAGTTCTGTTGTTAGCTCCCTTGTTTCTTGCTCTTTTTAATTTCTTACCTTACCTGGGGCATTCATTCTGTTGGGCATCATGGAGTTGTAATCCTTGATATCAGTTTCTAGAATAACCTTCAGAAAACTTCAGAGAGCTGTTTTGGTGTTTCTCAATTTCCTGATGTATTCTTTGTAATGGAAGTATCTTCTTTTTCCATCAATCTTGGTTGGAGACTGTTTCCTGTGAGGCTTGAGATACTTTACTCCAATGTCATCTTGACTGTAGGGTTTGTGTTGAGAAGTCTGCTGTGATACTGATGGGCTTTCCTTTATACGTGATTTGTTT